ACCACACACACACACACACACCCCAGCCCCCACAGTCCCTCCCCAGGCAACATCCAGTTCCCCCAATTCACCTGCCCCTTCCCCCACCTAAACTTACTTCAGTCAAGCTCTGAGACCCAAGAATGTTGGTAAAACTGGCTCCAGGAGCAGTATGTGGGATCAGGGACTGTTCCGTGTCATTGAGGAGTCTGGGGGGGGTTTGGTGGGATCAAAGAGCCTTTCCAGTCCTGCCAACCCCTCCCAATCCTTCCCAACCCCACTGCTAGCCCCCCCCCCCAATTCTGACCCTCCCCACAGGCCTGCTAGACCCTTGAACCCCCCCACATCACCCCCTACTAGCTCCTGTATCCCGTTTGCCATTCCCCCTACCCTAAGCCACCTCGCTCAAGCTCTTTGCACCTATCTAATTACTAAGTTAGATTGGAGGGCCATTTTTAACCCCATCTAAACCACCAAACTTCTGGCTGTAATATCTGTACAAAGCCCTAGTCTCTTCTTTCCATGGGTCTGACTAAACTCATAAGTGCAACCATGTTTCCTGTGCCACACTCTAGGCAATAACATGAGTAATCCGTGTGATAATTAGGGACCTACCAAAATTGCAATTTTGTGATTTTTTTCACAGAAACCTGCAGGGACCTTGCATACAAACAAAGGCTGACTCTTCTGTACCTCCTGCAATGTAACTTCAAGTCTGAGGTACACATGAAGAGGAAGGCTTTTGCACAGATTGAAGATCAGATAAAGAAGCAAGCCACTTTGTCCTTTCAGCGCTGTCCATGTCACCTGCAATGTCTACATTCTGATCCCTAATAAGTGACATCCAGTGCCTGTAGTTCCCCAAGGTGGATAGCCTGGTGTCTTCCTTCAAGAAAGCCTTCAAGCACTGTCCAGGCCATAAGGTCTGGTACAGGGAGTCAGTTGCCAGTCAAAGTCAGGATTCATGTGACACTGTTGCTGCTACCAGAGCCTGTACTCACACGGTGGAATTCCTGGTGCACTGTGGTCCATTACCATGCCAAGCCTATGCAGCACTACCAGCACTTTGTAAGTGAGGAGCTTGAAATTCCACTCAGCACACAGCAAATACTCAAGCTTTGTGATCTAGGATGAGGCAACATTCAAAATCAAGTGACGTTTGTGCCTAACAATGCCACCTGGTTCATTCAGCTTCTGATCTGGTTTGAAGGCTGGCAGGCTGTTATCCACCACACACACAGCAAGGTGATGGACTTGTTAAGCTGGGTCAAAGACAGGGCATTGCAAGAACTGGCAAGCTGCCCCTGTGAAAACCAGTGCAGAAGGGAACTGTTCCAGGCAATAGCTACGAAGTTGAACCATTACTACAGGTATGAACCATTACTGCCACCACAGCTCAGACAGCCAGCTGCCTCCTTAGTGCTGTTCACATATTGAACCCCAACCAGGTGTCTCTGCTGAGTTGTGCAATCCCAGGATGGGGGAAACAGCATGGCAATGAATGTGCTGCCTACATGAACTTCATCAGAGTGCCAGATTCCTGTATCCATGCCTGTGTTCTGGGACTCCGTCTATGACCGGTTTCCACATCTTTACACCATGAGCACGATGCTTCCTCACCATTCCAATGAAATTATTGAACACTGAGCATGCCATCTCTGTGTATGGACAAGTGTGCAACCCACAGAGGCAGAGAATGTCTCTAGTCACTGTGGCTGGGTGCACCATGCTTCAGTTTAATACATAGCCTGATATGCCCTTCTTAAGGTTAGCAGCATTCAGTTTCAGTAAATTCCTTTTAATAATGTCCATTAACAAAGTGTATACAGTTGGTGTTAGTTACAATTCATGTTGTGCATAGTACAGCTTTTATTTTCATAGAATATTTCAATTTAGAATTTCACTTAGTGCTTAGATGGTATTATTTAATAAAGTGTATATAAGTTGATATTTTTTAATAAAGTGTATATCGTTGGTATTACTTGCAATTCATGGTGTCCATTTTAATAGGATATTTCATTTTACAGATTAAATAGATGCTTAGACTGCTTTAATAATAACATGGCAATGAATGGCTTTCATGGGCTTGATCAGGGGATTAAGCCCGGTGAAGCCATTAACCACATCCTAGACTGCTTGCTAATGTGGTAATCCCCTAGTCAAGGATGAGGAAGGCATTATTTGCTGCAGTAGCAAACAGTTTAGGACCCAGATAATGGCTTCCCCAGGATGCAGCTAATGACCTGAGAAGGCCTTTTAATAGTGCAGCAGTTAATGGCTTCCTCAGGCTTAATCCCCTGATCAAACCTTGGGGGAGCCATTGCTGCATCAATAAGCAAGCCCTGGCAGTTTTCAAGGATGGGGCAGGACTTCCGGCACCCCTTGGCCCATAAGAGACGGGGGTTTCTACTGCACTCTGCTACAAAAATGGTGCCTTGCCAGGACTGTGAAATCAGAGGGCAGCTGCTCTTACTTAGGTAGGTTTTTAGTTATAATTAAATTGGTTCTTATAAAGAACAATGCCCTGAGTTGCTGAAACTGCTACTAGCATTCTATCTTGGGGCACTTACACACGACAGGGATCAGGGTTTTATTGTATGACCCCTAAATTGAAACAGTGGCTTTTTAATTGAAACCCATTGTTTCAATTTTTCCATCACGTTACAACAAGGGACCTGATCCTTTTTTTTTT